CTGCTTCTGCTTCCTGATCCGTCCCTTCTGCTTGCATTGCAAGGAGATTATTTCTTTTTTCGGCTCTGAGATCTTATGGTATGGTGGAGCTCAGAGCTTATGATATGGTGGAGCTTATGGCTCTTTATATAGATTTATCACATTTGATGTTCTGCGGGGGCAAAAGTCTAAGGATTTTTCTGCGGCAGGTAAATAAACCTACCAAAAAAGTCATCCTTTTTTTTTTACTTGATAAGACATTACTTGATAAGACTCTTTGATAAAGACATTTGTTTTCCAAACTCTATATTCCCAACTCATATTCCAAATATATTTGATAAAGACATTTGCTTCCAAAATGACTTTTAGGTTTTCACTTTGTTTGATAAAGACATTTTTTGAAAATATATTTCCAAAAGTATGACTTTTCCGGGGTTTTTTATAAGACATTTAGTGTCTTATCCCTTTTTGTTTACTTACCTACTTACCCCTTTTGTTTACTTACCTACTTTTTCTTTTTTTTTTTGCTTGACAACTCTTGTTGATAAAAAGTCTGGCTCTATAGAGTTCCAATTATGGCTCTTTATTTACTCACCCTTTACTCTTATGGCTCTGCGGCAGGGAAATATACCAACGTAAGGTGAGGACATGTTGTTTATTTAAATTTATAACATTAAACATATTCACTTATTTAATAATATATAAAAAAATATATAATTACTTATTTAATAATGTATACAAATCATGTAAAAAAAACTATGTCACTATCATTTAATTTTCATACAAATACAATTTTTTTCACAAAACACATTGAACCTCTCACCTTACCAAATTTTAATCCCTTATCTTATACTATTACATTTTTAAAATACTATTACATTTTTAACTCTTCATCTTACTTAGATTTATAAGTTTTAACTTCATCTATTAAAATAAAAAAAAATTACCTTCATTTTATACTGTTAACTCTGTTAATTTTTTCAACTTTTGTTAATGTGCAATCTCCTCCCCTTAGCCCCTATAATATATATATAAAAAGAAAAAATCTAAAATGTTAAATCTCAAGTTAGTAACATAATTTATTATTTTTCTAGAACGACGATACTGTTGAGTGGTCGCTTTTCAAAAAATACAAAAAAATAACAAAAAGGAAAGAAATTATGAAAATTATGGAAGAAGGATGCACATAGGGCAAACTGATCACGAATACTCTGATAAAAAATTTAATCGATTAATCGAAAACCAATTAGGGTTTGTTATGTTTTATATTTTCTTAAAAAATAATGCGAGTTTTCAAGTGTATTATTATGCTGTTCGATTTTTGGGCTTGAAACTGAACATCGCATCGATTATAAGCGGTTTCGGGCCTCAACCATTCCTTGGGCCCGAAGCCCATTTGTGGGCGCACTGCATGCCCGATTTTGGTGTGGTTGTCACCTGCGTGCTCGCCCAGCCCTAGTTAACGGGGTATCCAGTATCTCTTTTAGTAAAATAACGTGTCATAATGTAAGAGTGTTCAAGCGCACTCGCTCCTTGCAGTGCTCATGTCACTTTTCCCAAACATGACCAAGTAAGGTTTCTTTCCATTTACAAACTTAGAAAATAATGAAACAAAAAAAAAAAAAATGAAGAGACCTAAAATTACAAAATTTCACATTTATTTCTAGAGCTCCACACATCAAGCAAAAATCATCTCCATTAAGCCAATAGCTCAACAAAATCCCTGAAAATGGACCATTGTAATCCGTCTATAGGCCCTTGGAAAATGGCTCACAAGTCACAACCCATCATCGACGATCCTGTGGGAACAAGCAAGCAATTTAAAAAAAATTCAGAAATAGAGATAAAATTCGAAATTACATGCAATTAAACCTAAAGGTGACAGTCTAGTTAGCATAGTTATCAATACCGGCAGCATGCTAGCATAGGCAATTGTGAAATATGAAAAAGGCTACTTAGGAGGCTTATACAGTGCATCGACAGACCCAGCAGATATTGCATAAGAGCTTCATGTAGAAATGTAAAACAGCTTATATGCTGCACCCTAAGGCTAATAAAAGCTAACCCAGGATTATAACATGAAACAGAGTTGCCTTATTTGGAGCATTCTATTCATTCAATCAATATCTTAAATTCCTGCATTCAATATGTCCTTTACTTATGATATGAGATGAACTAAAACTAAACACCAACCTGCCTTAACCTTCATTATAACAAACTAACCCTCTGGCTCCAAGATAATCTGCAAACTATTTGATGTTTCATGTCTTTCGGCTAATGCAGTACTAAACCACCCCTCCCATATTAAACAACCATCGGCTATTTGCTCAATACTGGAAAGGAAAGTGAATACTGTGTTAAAACAGAAAATTGAATAGCAATGAAAGACATAGACATAGCATGATCAAAGTGGCTCTAAAGATTCTAAATTACTAAGATAAGCTGGCACAAGAATTTCATGATTTTACAATACCAAACATCTAAGAATTCAAAAGTTGAAAAAGATTCTAAGATAAGTTGAAGGAAAAGAAGGATACTTCTAAAATAGAAGGACAATCACTCCAACATTTAAGAATTAAAAAGTTATGGAAAAACCGTTCAACATACATCAAATATGGGCAAGAACTCATAGCCACATTCCAATTGGTTCAATCAAGAGTGAAATGCTATTCCATCCCCATTTACTGTTCAGGAAACTAATCAGTTAAGCCTTAGGATGATGAACAACTTCATTACAAAGTTATGCAGAAAACTAGCTTGTGCAAAATTTTCATCATGTAGTCACAAAGTGATTTAAATGCACTAGGCACACCTAGACACTTAAGGGGTCTTTTAGGCAAGAGGCAATGCACAAGGGCAAAGCACAGGCACACACTAACATAAGGCACAAAATGTGCAAGGGGACTGCACCTTTCCATTTGAGGCACACCTGATGGCCTCAGAATGCTGTAGTCCTGTAGACGTAATATGCAATGACTAATATTCTAGAAATAGAAATAAAGTCCATACAATGAACATAACTCACAGAAAATAACTTTACTCGCTCTTAAATCAAGAAATAACCAGTTTTCTTGAACTAAGCCAAGGCAGAAAGGCAAATACATATAATCAAAGCAATTTCTAATGGCATACTATAGAATAAGAATAAAATAAGAGAGCCAAATTATATTACTTTCAGTAGTGAATTAAGAAGAGATCTTCATATTCCAGAGGAAAAAGGAAACAAATATAACCTCACAAAGATCAAATGATGCAAATATCATCTACCCACTCCAAGAAATGTATGAGTTTTGTCCAGGGCATCTTGCTGCAACTAAGCAGACTAAGTGATGTCTTGCCCCAAAATTAAAACCCTTTGGCTGAGTGGTTGTTGTAGCGTAACTGTAAGTGTTGATCCACAGGGAAGTTATATTAAATCAACAAAAAGAGTTCTCACAATGAAAAACTAAATTTGCGTCACACTGACCAGAGGTTGGAACCTGAACACAGGGTGTGGAATCCCTCATGCTACTGTCCATCCTTTTGCATTGACCAGGGGTTGGAACCTGAAAAACAGGTTCCAACTCCTCATTAACACTTCAACTTCATGAACTTTGCTCCTTAATCAAAAATGGAGAAAATCCCACTTGAGCCTTCAAACTTCTAAATTTGAACCTTGGACCCTCATCTTTTTGGCTCTTTGCATTCTTTCCATTTAATTATCAAACCTTCAATCATCAAAAATTTGCACAACATAAATAGAATGAACACTTATGAAATTACTTGTAAAAAAATACAACTCTTAAGCCCATAATTCCACAAATGCTAATGGTTAAA